TTGAACTGCTGACGAATTCCCAATCTCGCCGCCGTGCCTCTAAGAATGGCGCTGAAATGGATGATGTAGTTTTGATTTTAAATATCCTTAATAAATTCAACCATTCTCGGTCTATTTAAACCAAACTGAATACATTTAATAATAAAAACATTATACGTAAACATCTAGTAATAATTCTGCAGTACAGATAAGCTTTAAAATAAGAATTACAACCATTACAGGTCAGCTACGTCTTTAGCGACCGAATTGTATTAACGACAAATCTCAAAAGCATGTTGCCAATGCAGGGCAACGAAAAGGTGGAAATTAATTCGATAGGCATGGAAGTGAACACATGTATTGGAGGGATTCTGGTCTTAGAGAGGTGAAATTCAGTACATAAATATCTCAGTATGATGTCATCAATCTGTTTTATATTTTTAACACTATTTAATACCAAAATACAAATGCAGTAGGTAAAATATATGCAGTGCAAAAATAAAGTATTATACATGATACTGTCCATAAATGTTTTTCTGCTACAGAGAGCAAAAGTGATTTTTTGATGTGTTATAATGTCTCTGATCTTTGATAATCAATTTCAACCCCATCACAACATTAGTTGATTTAATAAGCATTTTTTTTTTTTTTTTCATAATCGTAGAGGCATGTATGTGGCAAACGGTATGTGGTGGCCTATTTCTGGATGCGCGTTCCATCCTCATGCTTTTCAGCAAGCTTTTTTACTTGTATGGTGATCCTACAAATTTTCTTCATTGCTTGACTCTTTGCTTGACTTTTCTAAAATACATTTTTACTGAATTTGCAAAAAAACTTGTGAAAAAACACAAAATCACTTGAAAATTTAGAGTTAGAATGTAGGCTATTTATTGAATAGTAGCAACAGGTGTACTGATGTTCATAGACAGTCATAATGTTGCTTTGAAAGAGGTTAAACAAGTGTAGTATTCACAATTGTAACTTACCAAACTGGAGCTGTATACCAAGGATATATTTCTATGTGGACATGTGTCAAAGTACCATTGTACTATTATATATGTTCTTGGAAATACTGGTCATTTTAGAGAGGGGCTCATTGCAGCAAGGTTAATCTTATTTCGAGTATGAAGATTAATGAGTACAATAAGGATTACTAGAAAAAGATAAACAACAAGAATGAGCATATGTTTGTAAATTCTGCAGGACTAGTTTTGATGGTTTAAATACAGAACCAGCTTTCTTCAGCTGCCCAAGTGCAAATGAACAAGATATAATATGGTGAAACGATAAGAAGACTGAAAAGAAATCAAGTTACTGTCACCATCTATTGATGAAACAAGAAAACTAAAATATAATTTCCTTAAATGCTGAGGGAGATAGCTTGGAATTAGGGTTGTTAGTTAGAACAGAAAGATTTTTTTGAAAATGAAACTCCTCTAGAAAATTTATCTCACCTTACAGTATCAGTAATGGTTAATATGTACTATAATGGTTAATATTCACCAATAAATTTTTGAAAATAGAAAAAAAAGGGAAGTGATCATATCATAATAAAGCACAAAGTCAGCAAAACAAATTATTTCTTTGTTTATGTTCATCATTTTGAAATTATATAATATTTCATTTTGAGAGCAACAGGTATAATGTGTCATGCTTGTAGAAAGGAGTAGTAGGTCGAGTAAATCTACCTTTTATCATTATTTTTATGTCATTTAAAAATTGTGTTCCCAAAGAATGTGATAGACAAGCAATCCCGATCGTAGGATTGTGACACTGGCAACTGATGAGTGCGTTGCCACAGAATAGTTTTAGAAGTTGCGTGTGCATGCTCCATGTTGATCATTTTCATGAGGACTAGCTTTTCATGTTTTGTATTTTAAACTTGAATTTATTGTGTCAGTATATTTTGCTTTGAATTTTTTCATGTATCCCAAGAATGCTTTCATGAAGGTGAAATAAAATATAGCGCCAAGAGTTAAATTATTTTTCTTATAAGAATCACTAGAAAATTAAAATTTCTTATGACTGACTGCGTTAGTTAACAGTATGTCTGTGGCAGCTATGAGAACAGGTGAAAATGGATTAGTCTTTCTGGCATAGAGCCAACCCAGTTCGAGCATCTTTTTGCTCCAAAAACTCGATTACGCTCAATGGTTCAATGTCTCAAAAGAGGTAAAGTGTTTCTTTTGAATGTTAGGGAACTAACCTTGCCACTCTAGCCCATTGACAGCATATCTCTGTAGCTTATGTATTTTCATTGAGTCATAATGTGCATGTACAGAAAGGTCATAAAAACAAAAAAAAAAAACTTCTCCAGTATATGAACCCGTAGTGGCCTATCTGCTCATCTAGTGACAATGAAATATCAAGTGTTGTTATTTACTGGTATGCACTAGAGATTGTGAAGATTTAAAACAACAGAGCTCTCACAGTTACAGGGACAGGGAAAAATTTCAAATTTTCGCAACACCCATTTTTTTTCTGCGCAAGTTGATCAGCACATTGAAAAGTCATAAATGGCATTGAAATGATACACTCGCGATGAAAAAAATCGGGCACAAAATATTTGAAAAGAAGAGCATTTTAATGGTCTGGGGATAACACAAGAGAGGAAAGGGGAAAAACATCTTTTGGAATTAAGAGTTTTCAATGTGCCCACCTTCACAGCCGATAATGCATTGCATGCAGAAGATTGTTGACAGCTATAATGAACATTTATGGAAACTTCATATTTTATGGCACATTTCAATTCTGACAGATATGGTGGATTTAATGTGGACACCTTAGATTTTAGGTAAACCCAGAACCAGAAATCAATCAGAGTAAAGTTGGAGGATCACATGACCAAGAAGCAGCAAAGTTACGGGAAATGACGCTATCTCCAGAATACCAATGCAATCTTGGAATTACTGTCTTTGAGATGAAAATCGAGTGGACATGCTGACCACTCTGGTCAGCATCAAAGACAAAATCCATGATAGGAATAATGTTAGTTGAACTGCAAAATAGTGATACATGGTGGCATGGATCTAATTGGTTATTGCAGAGTAACGATTGGTGACCTAAACTCCAGGAATCAGTAAAGGAGATAATGAAAAGCTTGAACTTCGAAAGGGAGCTGTGGTAAACTCAACAGTCTCAGGTAAAAATTCCATTGAGAATGAGTTCATTAAAAAGTAGTTATCATTTAGTAGATTGCACTTGCATAGAGTTACTGCTTGGTGTGTAAGATTTGTGAGTAATGCTAGAATCAGTGGCCTATTAAGAAAAGAAAGTTGCTGGAGTGCTTCTGAATTGCATGATGCAACAAAGGTGCTAGTCAAATATGTACAACATTCTGAGTTTCTATCCGAAATTAGGTGCCTCAAAATGACCAGTTCTAAGTAGTAGTAAGGTTTCATCTTTTAATATAGGAATAAACTGTTACAAGTTGGTAGGAGATTGAGTCTCTCCAATCTTTTAGAAGTTCAGAAACATGAACTTCTTTTACTGAAAAGACACCATTTCAGTGAATTACTCTTAGATTATTATCACAACAACACACACACACACAAAAAAAGGGGGGAGTTCAGAAACATGAACTTCTTTTACTGAAAAGACACCACGTCAGTGAATTACTCATAGATTATATATGTATATTAAAAAAATCGGTTGTTCAAACAGCAATTTCTATTGTTAGACAATTATACTGGATACATTCCAACAAGACAGAGTTAGATGTATAATAAATAAATGCATGAGTTGCTGTAATGCATGACTTAAATACACTGTGCCATTATTATCTTTGTACAGCTTCATTATTTCATAAATCACTTTTTCATATTTTTAATTTTATGATTTATGTATGTGATATTATTATATTTAAAATGCTCACACTAGATCTAATATCCAGAATTGCCGCAAGTCCAGATTTTGGAATTTGTACTCTATTGCAGATTTCAAATCGAAGTTTAGTAAATTTTTTTTTCTTTCAACATGGTACTCAGTAGTTTAAACTTAATGTTGTGTCATATTTTCCTGTGGATTAACTCTGTAAAACTATGTTTGTACTATATTACTGTACTATATTTATTGATATATCACAATCTCTTGTTATTGTCCTTTTTAGATGAAAAATCTCAAAACTTGGTTTTTAAAATATTGGATAAACTGGGGGGATGGGACTTTAAAGACTGGAGAGAGTATCAATTTCTCAGTTGTTAGTTCAGAAAATCCATGAGAGCTTCGCTTTTTAGAATTGCATTGTGTTTAACAGTCTTCGTAGTTTGAAGTGGAACTACGAATTGAAGTCTGTGAATGTGAAGAGCTGTGCAAATACTTCTGTGGAAAGTTCCAGAACTGTAAAGTGTTCCTTTTGATAAAATAAATTTTATCAAGCTATCATCAATTCACTGTGCTTCAATCTATTTATGAACCAATATGCATGCAACAACATGTATTGCCATGATTCATCTTACAGAAGTGATGTTTTCAGAAGTTGCACCTGCTGGCGTGGGAGAAATTTATGTGGAATCCTAGTATCCAGTTTAACATTGTCCATAGGGTGATATGCCAAGTTTGATACTGACCTCGTATACCACTGATGTTGATTTTTCATTCACTTTCTGCCTTGAATATACTGTATTGCACACATTTGGAAACTTGAACTGCTCCTGGCTTCTGATCAGTCTCAACATTATCAGCTTTTTACAGAAGTTTGTAAACATACTAGAAACAAATTTTCTCTTAACAGAAACTGTTTTGGACATAATATATTGAAGTTAGAATTTATGCTCAACCTCTAATCTTAAGATTAGAGCTCCTGGGTTGCTTCATCATATCGCAAACTGGTCTGATGCCTTCAAAAACTAGCTCAATCCATGTGAAATTAAAATTTTCTCAGGGCTAGTTTTGATGGTTCGGTAAAACCGTCGTAACTAGTCCTGTGAAAATTTGCAAATATAGTGCTGATTTTTGTTGTTTGACTTTTAAATTAATATTTATTCAGCATGTTATTTTTATTTATTTTAATATTTCTGAAGGGTACTCATTTTATGAATACTGCTATGTACGATGCTCGTGAAGCCATGATTCCTGGAAGTGTGTATGATCGATCTTCTCATATGAATGGTGGTAAGCATTTGATAGCTTTATTTATTTATTAATCATTAATCTGAGTTAATCTGAAGTAAAAAATCTCCTGTTAGTATTTGTGCGATTAATAAGCTAACATATTATATAAGTATACTAATGTTTTTCTTATATGAAAATAGAATAATATAAAATTAGACAGTTAATCTTTGGATTATGGTAACTTCACGATTTTTTGGCGACCAACCCTGCTACAGCAACCTGCTAGTTTTTTTTTTTTTTTTTTTTTTTTTTTTTTTTTTTGCACGCCATTTTGTTTTCACGAAGTAAAGGCTTTTTTTTTTCCTCAACATTTTTTTCCAAAAATCTGCTAGCCGAATAACGCTTATTCTAGAACTTTTATGGATCAAAAATGCTTAATCATGACGAAGCTTAGGTGCGAAATTGGGAGAAAGTGCAGAATCGCAAACTGCTTGCCACGTTTTTAAAAATTGCACATGCACGGTATCCATGAACACGTCGACCTATTTTCACTTAAAAATACCAGAATTGCACAAAAATGGCATTGTGCACACTCTTGACTTTATCCATGTACACTGCTAAAGTCCTAGCTAGTAACCTTTATCGCCTTACCAAAATGTCACCAAACTACCTGTTACCATATTCCAAAGATTAGCCAATTAGACTTGAGGAGGTCCTGGTTCAGCCATTGAAAAGAAATATATATATATATATCAGAAGAACATTGTGACATTGTAGTGACATTGCCCGTGGAATCTCACCTCACCATCCTTCATTCATATAAGTCCCTTAATTTATTGCATTAGTAGTTATGTGCTTCTTACAATTTTATTCTTCAAATGAATGTGCCCATTGTTACATGTTTACTTTATCATTCATGCATGTGGGAAAACTGAATTTTTGTATATTTATAAAACTTATAATATGCTTGACTAACTGTTTGGCACATTTCCTATTTAATGCTGAAATTGCTTTTCATATAGTGAAACCTGTCAGGTGCAGCTACTTCAAAAAGTATTACTTTTGAAATCAGTTTGGAAATTTGAGTCATAAATAACTACTGGTATTGAAGATTACCTTTATTCATGTTCTCTAAGGTAATCATCTTCACAGAAGTTGAATCATTTTGAATTGTGAGTTGTTTTAAGTTTTCAGAACACTTCCATGCTGTAATTTTATATGAGATGGAATTTGAATTCTTAGCATAGGTATTTTATTTTCTGGTTATAATATGATTAAATTTGAACAATTTTGCACATTGAAGTCTACCCCACAAATGGCTGAGTGGTTAAGAGTGGTGAATATTGATATTTCAGCCTTGATTTGAACTCGGGCAAATGGGCTGGCTATACCTGTGTCTTGTGTCATGAATAATGAATATGAGCCACTTTCGTGTAGCATGCTCTTTGCAGAGACATCTCTCCTCTTAGATAGATAGCTCTAATTTGTTATAATAACTTTACTTAATTATGTATTAAAGCCATCTGTTACATCTACTTCATCTGGCTTCACAGTAAGGTTAAGTTGTTATTCAATGATTTACCAATAAAGGCAGCATCACTTTGTGTTTCCTTATATATTTATAAGCTGTGCTGTAAACTTTATAAAGAAATATTTACTTATATGAAATTACAAAAAAATGTTTTTTATATTTTTAGGTCCTGCATATTTTAACAGACCACATGACCAAATATCATATATTAGCCCAGAAAGAGCACAGAGTGCTGTTGCAAATCTACCTGTACCAGTTGGTATGTTCTTAAACATGGCTCACATACCTCCACGATTCTATAACCAGCATCAACAGGCCTTACAGGGTAAATTAGTGATAGTTTTTTTTTTTTGTTGCTGTTATTTTTTATCTATTTAAAATAATTTTTTTTAATGGAAAATATTTGCATTTAATATTTAGCTCGTCAGAATCAAAGGAACAGAAGTGCCACCAGAAAAGGAGGTGGAGGAAGGCAGAATATAAATGGCAGAAATGTATCAAATGGAGCTTCTTTGAATTTATCTCAGACTGGTTTTAACAGCCAAGCAAGTCAGGTAATATTTAAATTTAGCAGTTCATTTATTGAATCACACAATAGTAATTGATTTTTATTTAAGAGAAATGAAAGCGTTGATAAATGGGAGGGGGGGAATTAAGCGAGTAAAGTATTAGAGAACCGAGTTTAAATATATTTTTGAGTGTTATAGTTTTGTGAAAATTATTCTAATGCATTATGAAATATAGCATTTTAATGAAAATTTTGTATATATTTATATTCACTTTTTATTTTAGCATCATTAAAGTTAACATAAATTATGGTTACAGATCTCTGTTGATTTAATATTTTAAAAATATAGTACTAGCCATTATTTTTTCAGTGCTACAAATGTCTTTCGAATTTTATGATTTATTTAATTTTTAGTTAATGAAACAGTTTACTTTAATTAAACCTTGTTGAGTGATTAAATGTTTACTTTCTAAGCCGTACCTTTACATTTGAGTACCTTTTCAAATCTTACCATTGTAACTGAGGTATTAAACAATTCACAGTCGTTTTATATAATTTACAGTTTTAATACCAGTCAATTCAAACCAACAATAATTTACATTATTTAATACCAGCCAATGCAAACCAATAATTAATAAATGTTTGAATGTGGTTTGAAATACATAATAGTAAATACCATAACATGTTAATATTAAACAGACATTAACATTTACAAAATACGGTACAACTCTGATATACGCCCTATTTTCACCAAATGTGGTGATATGTGTTCTGCACTGGTTTTTGGTGCGATTGCGTGTTGTATGGCAACCCTGCTGACGTTGAAAAGTCTTTCGCTGGAGCTCGTTGGTTTGCGTCATGCTGTATGTCCATGATAATGGAAGGTTGTTTCGGGCATCGGCCCTGTCTGTTGTTTTATTGGGGTGTGGTTCTGGCGTTGGCTGTTGATTTTTGGGGTGTATGTGATTTTTGTGTTTATTTTTTTGCTTGTGCGTTTATGACTTTGATGTTTTTTTTTTTTTGTTGTTTTTTATTTTGTTTTTTTTTTGTGTGTTGTTTTTGTGTTGTTTTTTTTTTTTTTTTTTTTTTTTTTTTTTTTTTTTTTTTTTTTAAATTTGCATAGGTAGTTTTCAAATGGTTTTTTTAGCTAAATGCACCAAACCGTTGGTTTTGCGTGAAGGAAAAAAAAAAAAAACAAAAAAAAAAAAAAAAAAAAAAAAAAATAAAAAATAAAAAAAAAAAAAAAAATTGTAAAATAAAAAAATTTATAATAAAATAATTACATAATTAAATGCTATATATAAAAAACATAAAAATACATAAAATTAAAGAAAAAAAAAAAAATAAAAAAAAAACATAAAATAAGCTGTAAAGCATAATTATTTAAACTAGGTAATCCCAATTCTGTGAACAACTATTATTGTAAAAAGTCTTAAATAAAAAAAAATTTTTTGTAAAAAAATATGGCATGAAAACATATCTGTATGCTTTAATATTCAAAATATTTTAAAGCTTTCAAAGAAACATATTTGCTGTTCGAAAAATCAATTAGAATTTAATTAATCCTTTAAAAAAACAAATTAACTGTAATTTTGTTGTTAAAACAATAATTTGATAAAATTGGCGAAAAACAAAAAAACAATACATTTAATTTTTATTATTTATGTTAACATAAAAAATTTGTTAATTTCATTAACGTACATATTTTAAGTTTTTTTAAGTTAAAATAACTGTTTATAATTATAAAATTAGGTTACATTTAACATATTTCAAAATTGTGATTTAAAACAAATTGGAAAAAATCTGTAAACTAATAAAATTAACACCAACAAAGAATTACAGTTTCTGCAACAAAAACATACATTGGTGCCTACAACCGTATTCCCAAAATAGACATAAAATTCTTTAAATTAAAGCAATATTCGCTATAAATATTTAAAACAAATCTAAACACTGACAAAAATTATAATTGTAACAAAATTTAATCAATGAATTTTTTTTTCTGTGAATATAAACAAAACATTTGACTGCCCGAAAAATTATTTAAGAGAAAAAAATGACATTTTACATGATATTTAAAAAAAATTTCTTGTGAAACTCATTAAGCAACTATTTTTTCTAGCTCTTATTTTTTTCAAACTAGTTGAATGACCTGTTACCTTAAACATTCTGACATTTTTAACATGGCTTTAAATCCTAAATCATTTCTAAAAAATTTTCACATTTTCTGCCACCACAAATATAATATACGGCAACAGTTTGCGTTGGCGTGTTTAATCATATTTTATCAAACGATTTGAAATCAAATTTTTGGCATTTGAAAGAAAGAGACTTGGCTTTGGAACTCTGCATTGTGAAATTTGTAAAAAAATATTATTAACCGTTTGTGTCCCAAGCAGCGCGATCACACTGTTGAGATTTATGTCGAGAAAACCTAGTACATTTCGAACATTGTGGACAAAATGAGAAACACGTAAGAATACGTCTGATCACTTTGCAAATTGCAATAGATGTGATGGCTCCTTCGGACTTCTACCTTTTTTCACACCTGCAGCTACATCTTGCTGCTGCTATCTTCCATTCTGCACAGGGTGTCCAAAATGAGGTTGATCTTTTTTGGACTCTCAGCCACCAAGTTTTTGGGTCGAAGGCTTTAAAAAACTACCAAAACATTGGTAGAAAACCATAGATTTTATGGTGATTACTACTCGCACTAAAGGTACTGCTTTCATAATTCCCTCCCCTAACTTTATGAAGAACTTTTTTTTTTTTTTGGCGGAAAACTTTCATTACAACCAGATGAAATCTATGGCAGTTATTTTTTTAAACTGAATTTAATCAAAAATAAGAATACTTTAAAAATGTTTTTAGTAAAAATTAGCCCTGAATTTTCAGTTCAGTGGTTAAATAAAATGATAAGTTATTTAATGATGCTAATATTTGACTTGCATAATGTAAGTAATTTTACTCAACTGTTTAGACCAGGGTTTCTTAAACTGTGGTTCGCAACCACCTTGGAAGTCACCAAAAATTTTAGCAGTTTTGATATTTCTTTAACTTATTATATAAATTTATAATTATCAAATATTTTTACACAATATATCTGAAAATAGATAAAGTTAAGACAATACAGAAAAAGAAAAACATGAAAACATTTCGACGCATTCTTTTTATAATATAAAAGTTCCTTTTCCTTGCTTTGCACGTGACGCTGTCATTTTGTCTGTTACTTATTTAAAATTTTCACATTTTTCTGTTTTAAAATTATAAATTAAAGTTAATGACCTAAAACTGCAGTAGTAAATTATAGTACAAGTGAAAAAATTAACAGTTTCACTCAAGCGTGTGTCGAATTTGCACGACACTTACTGGTTTCCACAAAAGTTTTGTAAATATTATGGGGTCCTGGGGGTCAGGAAAAAATTTCAGTGATAAAAAGGGGTCATGACTGAAAAAAGTTTAAAGAACCCTCGTTTAGACTGTTAAAGTAGCAACTTTACTTAACTGTGTAGACATGACTATCCAATGAAGATGATGCAGTTTATTCCTTAATTTAAAATATTCTTGCCCATTTTTATGTGTAGGATATGATGGGAGGATTTTCACAAGGACCTCTTACTCAAGGTCAGTTAAGCATGAGTCAGATGAGCCAGCCAAATTATCCAGGTTTATCCCAGCCTGGGTTATCTCAACCTGAGTTATCACAAGTAAGCATTTTTGAAATATTATTAATTCTAATTTTTTAATCTACATTATTAGGGAATGCATTTATCCTACTACACTATATCTTCCATGGCTTCTATCTCTTTCTGCACAGAGCTTTACTAAAATACCATAGTTTGAAAAGATTCCTCTATAAATTATTTAGGCTTTCAAAATATGTAGAAAAATCTTGCATCCAATTCTAAAAATAATAAAATAAATGCAGCCCATTTGATATAACAAATCTGCCTGCTATGTACTAAACCGGTAGACTGAGCAAATGACAAAATGAGACATAAAAGAAAAAAATAAACGTAGAGCTAACTGTTAGTAAAATGTCACTAATCATCTTTAAATCATGTCCAACTATTATAAGTGTAAAATATTTAGTGCTGTTTGACAAATTTTTCATAGTTGATATAATTCTCAAATTTGTTTTATGATTATGTTAACCCTTTGAGTACTGAATTATTTGAAAATTTTTATGCCTGTAAGACGGATATAATTTGTCGCTATATGGATTAATATGTAAAAGCAATAAATTTTATTTGGAATATACTTACATTGGTGATATAAATATATTTTTGAAATAGCATTTTAATTACAAAACATAAATAAATATATAAATGAAACAAAATAGAAATATTTATATAGAACTTTCAGTCCAACTGATTTCAGCTATTTCTTAAAATTATTTTATGTCAGCAAGATTTTCATTTTCTTCCCAAATCCTTATTTTTGCAATTGTTTGATAGAAGATTCACTATCATTCTATAAAAGCTGCATGCATTTTCGATGTACTGGTATTACGTCACTATCACTTTCTAAATCATTGTCATTTTCACTATCCAATTCACTGTAATCACTGTCATCATACAACTCTAATTCTACTTCATTGGAACTATCATTTTCACAGTCATATAATGAATTTTTTATTTTAGACATCTTAGGATAGCATATTAAAAAAACAGGGTAGCTTACAAAACTTCTTGAGTAGCTATAAAAAATAGATTCGCTTAGAGTAGACTTTTTTTCAGTCATGCAGCCGGTGATCAATTTTTGCAATGACTGTTGTTTCACTAGACACTTGTATATGTTTCAGTAGCTAGATGTACAAGATTGAAGCTCCTTTTTTTATTGATGACTTCAATTATCTTCCAATCAATTTGATTGAAATTTTCATATACTGCACAAAAACAGGTTTGAGTGTACCTAAAGAAACCTTCCTCCTAGTATATATATATATATAATAGTTTTAGAGTATGTTTCTTAATAATATGTCGTCTGTATCTGCTGCATAAAAAATGGGTCATTTTTATATATGCATTTTTTCCATGGTATCCTGGAATGGTTAGCTTGATTAGAATTCATAAGGGTTGTAGCATAGGAGCTGGGTTTTTGTGTTATTGTCATTATATTATAGTCTAATCAAAAAATAAATGAATAGATTGAAAATATGTTATTACTTGGTGTTTTGCTTCCTGAAGTTGTATTTTGCTCATAATACAGTCTACTTTCATTTGTTTTCTTTACCAACAGACTGCATGTCTCGCAAATTATCCATCATCTATGCTTTCATCACCATCACCTTTCATTTTCCTTAAACCTTTCACGTGAGATAGAGAGACTTGATTTTTTTATAGGGTCTAGCATTTTCTGCTCTACATTAAGTAGTAAATTTTAAATCTCCATAGTAAATTAATTTTCTCTGTGCCTTACTTAATGTATTAAATGTGACATGTATGTTCCAGTCCCTAGGGGAGGTTAATCAGTTTGAATATAGTTATTGTCATCAATGTTTTCATTCCATATGTTTATAAAAAATTTGAATAAATTGTAGATTTTAGCTGAGATTGCTATAATTAATAATATATTTGGTAAAACTAGTGGATTAAGAAAGGTTATGCTTTCAAATGCTTAATATTCTGTTTCAAATTTGAAGGTTAAACACAACAGAGTTGAACAGTATATGTCATAGTAAATTATGTTGTGCTTAAATAAATGTATCTCCATCATTATTACCCGTCAGGGGGCTCACTTTTGTGAGTATGGGTGTGGCAATCCCGAGGTACCCTAGCCCTTCAGGGTATCATCTTCTTGATGAGACGGGTGTCACAATCCTGGAGTCCTAGTGATCTATCCTCTTTTCCGTCTCCTCTCCTCTTGGGCTGGAACTTTTTCCCTTCCCTTCTCCCTTGTGGTTTCTCTCTACGGAGTTTGGGGCTCGTCACGGGAGACTGGAACAGACCTTGTCTCTAGTTTTCGAGTGGCGAGAAAACTGACCACGTGTTTGCCGTGCATAGAGACCCGTGTTGCTGGAGAAAGGAGGGTCCTGGTAGTTGAGGGGCGAGGTACTGTCCCCAACACACTGCTTTGGCCTCTGCTTCAGCTAAACGGGAGGCACCTTAGTTGTCCTCACGGGTGTCAATCGGCTGGTCACTAGTCCTTGTGTCAGTGGCTTGGGGTCAAGCTCTCGGGAGTACCTGCTTTTGGGAAAGCCGACTGTGGGGCTTCAGTTTGTGTATAGGTCCGGCTAGCCCTATACACAAACACAGATTCCTGTGTTCCCTTGTTGGGCTCCATGGTGGGCGGGGCCGTTGGACCCGAATTTTTTCTCTTTCAGTTATGGCTTCTTTATTTATTCTCAAGAAACCCGAGTCAAATGAAACGAACCAAGAAATTGAAATTGTTGACAAATCTATTAACAAGAAGATCCGTACTGAAGCAAATACCAAAGATACTGAGATTATTGACAAATCCATTAATAAGAAGATCCGTACCAATGCAAATGCCAACGAAACCACTGAAAAAAAATCCTCGCTTCCTTGTTGTCTCTAGTCCTTCTGGTGAACTGCAAAAGATGTCTCCTTTTCTCATAAGCAAATATATACATTCATGTATAGGTGAGCCAAGGAACATAAAGCATCTTCGATCAGGAGACCTGCTTATTAATACGATATCGGCCACCCAGTCTGCTTCTCTTTCCCGACAAACCGAACTTGGAGAAATATCTATAACTGTGTCAGCGCACAAAACATTCAATTATTGTAGAGGTGTAATCTCGGAGATCGACCTTCTGTGTGTCTCAGAAGAAGAGCTAGTCTCGGAGTTAGCTGACCAAAATGTCTGTGGTGCTAGGCGGATCAAGATGCGAAAGGAAGGCCAGTTGATTGACATGAAACACGTGATCCTGACCTTCAGTATGCCTGATCTGCCTAAGAATATTAAGGCCGGATATTTAAATTGTCCTGTAAGACCGTATATTCCAAACCCTATGCGATGCTTCCAATGTCACCGTTTCGGCCATTCTAAGACGTCTTGTTGTGGCAGCCTCACATGTGCCCGATGCTCACAGATTGGCCACGATTCTGAAAATTGTACCGCTGCGCCTCTTTGTATAAATTTCAAGGCGAGCCCCCAGCATTTTCACGCCTGTGCCCAAAATGGAAATTGGAAAAAGAAGTGCAGACTGCAAAGGTTACGAGGAACATCTCATACGCGGAAGCCAGAAGATTAGTCCAAAGCACACAGCTACGACCAATACATCTTACGCCAATGCTCTTAAAAGATCTCGTACAGTTGCCACCCAAACCTCAGTTGGTATGCAGACTCCACCAAACAAAAGTCAACAGACTACAAACAACAGGAAGAAAGAAAACCCAACCCATACAGTACAAAAAATAGAAACTGTTATTCAAGCCAAACCTAAAATTAAGACACAGAAAATAATAAATAAAAGTAGAAGCACCAGCAACAGCTCTTTTGATGACATGATATCTGAATCTGCGGATTCAGACAGTATGGAAGTAGAAGAGGGTCTAGAAGTTCCCAGGCATCTACTTCCACGCAAAACAAAAGAACAGCACAGAAAGAACAAAAATCATTCATAATGGCCAACCTCGTCTCATGGAACTGTCGCGGTTTCCACCTGAAATTTGCTCGACATCAAAGCTATAATCAATGTTTATCATCCTGTATGCTTCGCGATATAGGAAACAAATCTAAAACCGGAACAACAGGAAAAACTTCGGAGTTTTTCTTTCGTCAGGAAGGATAACCTTGCAGGTGAGCGTGCCAGTGGAGGTATAGGTCTCCTCACCTCACTGGACTACCCATCAAGTTCCTTTCCTTTGACGATACCCCTCCAAGTTGTCGCTACTCAAACAAATTTTGATATTGTTACAGTCGTTTCTCTGTATTTGCCTCCAAATGAGCACATTGATCAGGAAGATTTAAATGGTCTTATAGAGCAGCTGCCTGAGCCTTTTATAATAATCGGAGATTTTAATGGCCATAGTCCACTCTGGGGTAGTAAAGATCCAAACTGCCGAGGAAGACAAATTGAGCAGATGATCGACGATCATAGCCTTTGTCTCCTGAATAATGGGCAGGATACGTACTTCCATGAGCCTTCAAGGACATTCCACGCTCTCGACCTTGCCATCTGTTCACCATCTTTGTTGCCATTTTGCACTTTTAGTGTCAGAAATGACCTGTACAACAGCGATCACTATCCCATTTTTGTGTCTCTTGCACGAAGAAGAGCAAACCCCATGTCGAGACTCCCTCGGTGTATACTGGACAGGGCAGACTGGGAACTCATCTCTTCCATTGCAGAGCTCACAGAGGAAATAGAAGATGTGCATATCGATGACGCTGTTGAAGCTGTTACTAATACTATTATTCAGGCAGCTATGCTTTCGATTCCTAGAACATCAGGAAAAATACTAAAATATTCGAAACCGTGGTGGAATCGCGACTGTCATGAAGCACTGAAAATAACAGAAAAAAGCATGGGGTATTTTTCATAGATATCCTACTCTGCAAAACCTCATAGCCTTTAAAAGAGCCAAAGCAAATGCACGAAAAGTAAGAAGGCAGAGCCAGAGGAATTCCTGGATTTCATATGTGTCGTCAATAACATCCTCTACGCCTAGTAAGCAGGTTTGGGAAAGAGTTCGAAAAGCATGTGGAATGTATAAAGACCACTCACTTTCCTTTCTAG